TAGGGGGGAAAAAGCCACTGTAATCCAAAAGCTGTACTTTGGAAATTTATATTTGCTAAATAAAAGTTAAAAAAATGAGAAATGTCAACACTACATTTATCTTCACTTTCTACACATTGTTGAAGGTCATTTCCTATCATATTTGTAATATTTTGTGCTCTCCGCAAAACGTGTAAGGCTGGAAACTCTCACAGTGTTGGATCTGGGAGCATTTTTGATGTCGGCATTAAGGGATATAACTTGCAAGGAGGTGTCAGGGAATAGTCTGAGATCTTTCTATGGGTGACCATGCCAGACTGCTTCAGAAGAGGACATTTGGACATGGACCTCGTGGTAAAACGGGCTCTACATTCCCAAGGTTGTCTGTACAGATGAAGTTCTTCCCCCAGGCAACACCAGCACAAAGAACTAAGGAAAGCACTTGTGCCTGAAACTGAGGACTGAAAAGAATACCAGTGTGGGTGGGAGAAGGAACTGGGTATGGGGCTGTTGAGATGCAGGCAGAGGATGGAGAGGCAATCAGCGATCTCCTGTGGAGACCCTGAGGTGCAGGGAGCCTGCCTCTCCCTAACTTCATGTAGTTGATGGATTTTGTAGTGGTGCATTGAAGCAGATCCCCATGTCAGCACCATGTGTGAACTGAATGCTGGGTCTGTGGTCTGAGAGTCATCTTGGAATCTTCTAGGATGAGCCCAGAAACTGCTGCTGTGAGCACAGCTGTCCCTACACACACACACACACACACACACCCGGCTGAGTTCATGAAGCCCCATGCTCTGTCTCCTCAGCTGTGTCACCTCCACATCCTTCTAACCCAGCCACACTGATGGGACTAGTGGCATATTGCACAGCTTGCAAAACAGGTGCATCCTTGAGACAAGCACAAAGGACTTTTAAAGAGTTTCTGAAGGTAGATTTCAAAATCAGGTCAGTTTTCTGCAAAATAACTGAAGTGCATGGCCAGGTTTTCCATGGTGCAGTTTCTATGAGTTTTGAAAATGCCCTTGTATTTAGAATAAGTACACATTGATTCTAATCCATAATCCTGTCCTGTAGAAATATGATTAAACTATACCTTTTTTCAGTTATTAAGCCTGAAATTGATTGATGTTTTGTCTTGGTTTTGGGTGGCACGTGACAATTGGATATATTTATGTGGCTATGGGGCAGACGGATGCATCACACACTGAATGAGCAAGACTGACCATTACTCTGGGGTTGACACTCAGAAATCTCTTTTCTAGTTATTTTGAACCATGCAATATGTTATTGTTTTATTTATTTATTAATTTTTTGACAGGAAGAGTGGACAGTGAGAGAGAGAGAGAGATAGAGATAGAGAGAAAGGTCTTCCTTTTTCTGTTGGTTCATCCTCCAATGGCCACTGCGGCCAGCGTGCTGTGGCCAGCATACCGTGCTGATCCGAAGCCAGGAGCCAGGTACTTCTCCTGGTCTCCCCTGCGGGTGCAGGGCCCAAGGACTTGGGCCATCCTCCACTGCACTCCCTGGCCACAGCAGAGAGCTGGACTGGAAGAGGGGCAACCGGGACAGAATCCGGCGCCCCTACTGGGACTAGAACCCGCTGTGCAGGCGCTGCAGGCGGAGGATTAGCCTATTGAGTTGTGGCGCCGGACAATATGTTATTGTTAACAATCATCATGCTACTGTGCAAATTTTATAAATTGTCTTCAAGAAGCATGAAGAGAGAGAGAGGGAGAGAGAGAGGATGTAGACATGGGAGAAGCCAAGATCTAACTATTCCAGGAAGTCCCTGGGTAGGGCAGTATCCTAACCTTGGCTGTGTCCCCTTGCTACTAATGGGACAAAAATTGAGAGACAATGAAGTTAAACAAATGTATCCAAGAAACTGAATTATTCAATGCAAAATCACAGCTGCAGGAAAAGCAGAAGTATTTTAAGAATTAAAATTTGAAAATAGTAACAATTCCTTGACATCAACAATAGTCACAAATTTACCATCAAATTGGCAAAGCCTTGGAAATAAAAATTTCACAGGGGCGGCCATTTTGTTTTGGAGAGTGAGCGGGAGTTGGCGGCGGCAGCTGTGGTGGCACAGACTGAAGGCAGGGAAGGGCAGGCCGGGCGATCAGGCGGGTCGGCCAACGACACAGCCAGCCAACAGCCACGGACTAGCCTCGCAGTCTACCACTTAAGCATCTGACCCAACCGCCCATCTAATTAACCGGAGCCCCTCCACCGTCAATTACTGAGGTTCGGCCGGTCCCCGGCCCGCCCTGCCGCAGCCGTGCTGGCAGCCCCGGGAGGAGCACTGGCGTCCGTTTCCTTCGATTCTCGGGATCTGAAGATGGCTGCTCAGTCAGCGCCGAAAGTTGTGCTAAAAAGCACCACCAAGTGTCGCTCCCCCTCTTCGTGGAGGAACGACACAGGACCCTGCGCTGTTCTTTCGTCTGCTCGGCCCTCCCCGGGTTTGCTGCTGGTTCTTCCCGGGTTGGCTACTATCCCTTCCACCTCCGTGGAAGGGCAGTTCCCCCTGGCCACATTCCCCACTTCCGCAGGGGAGCGGCACACCGCCGGCCGGCTCTCTTGGGGACTGCACAGGTGTTCCTTCAGCTAGATGTTCCCCATAGATGTTCTTCGTGCATGCCGTCTCTCTCCTCCTTTATAGTCCTCCTCCGCCAATCCCAACTCGGCTGCCCACACGCCGAGTACGCTGCTCTCCTCCAATCAGGAGCAAGTCCTACTGTTTATTGGTTGAACTGGAGGCAGCTGGGTAGAAGCTGTTTTCTCCTCTCCCAGCGCCATATTGTGGGAGAGCAGGTGCATAGAATAAGTCTTAATTCGAGTAACTTAGTCTAGTCTGGGTTGCTCCCCACAGATCCCCCTTTCTTTTTATTTTTTGGCGTTGATACGCGCCTGTCTTCGGTGCCCCGTGGCACACACTCTGCTCTGCTTGCTAGAGTTGCCACAGGTTCTTACAAGTCCTATCAATCAGGCAAACCGAATCCAAGCCTTCTCATTGCCGTATTGTGGGGGAGACTTATTAGTGTTGGTTCGTGCCTATCTTCGGTGACCTGCAGCTCATACTCTGGTCCAGCTGCCTGCTGGTGCTTATCGCCTAATCAGGCAGACCGAATCCAAGCCTCCTAATTGTATTGTGGGGAGGCCTTACTGATGTTAATTCGTGCCTGTCTTCGGTGACCTGCGGTGCATAAGCTGCTAGCCGCCGCAGGTGCTCATCGCCTCACTTATCGGGCAGACCGAATCCAAGCTTTCTAATTGCCATGTTGTGGGGAGGCCTTTCTATTTCTCTATTTCTCTATGTCCGGGCATTCCTATTTCTCCCATTCTACTTCCATCTTCCAGCATTCCCATTTCTCTCATTTTACTTCTAAACTTCTGTTTCTCTTATCCCTGCGGCTTCCCGGCTGCGCCCGCCCCGAGGCTGCTTCTTGGCACCTCGCCCCGCGGCGGCTTCACAGCTCTGCGCGGCTTCCTGGCGCCTCGCCCCGCCGGCGGGTTCCCGGCTCTGCGCGCACGCTCCGCGGTCTCCACGCACTTCGCGCCCGCACCACGGCCTCGCGCCAGCCCCGGCGTTCCCCATCTATTCACGCCCCGTGCTCTCTCTGCACGCGGCGGCTTCCGCGAATGTTTCCGCCACCACCGGCATTCAGTCCAAGTTCCCCGGACTAACCTGGCGAATTCCAACCTGGCGGCCCACGTCTCTGGTTCCAGATCTTCGCCTCTTGCTCCCCGGGGTGACTTGAAGAATTCCAAGGTGGCTTGGCCTGCACTCGCGGCTTCATCCTCCCTAACATTTTTCTCTACCCGGCATGCTTCCCCAAGTTTTCTTCCAACAATATTCCTCCCTCATTTCTCCTGGCTTCTCCCCACAGTCCCATATCCGAGTCCAAGTTTCCTCTAGGTTTCACTTTCACTTTCAACCTGCAGTCCGTATCTAAGTTTCTTCTTGCTTTCACTTTAAATCCTAACTTCTTTCCCACAGTCCATATCCGAGTCCAAGCCTCCTCCAGGTTTCACTTTCGCTTTCAATCTCCTAGCTTCCCCGCCATAGTCCGCATCCGAGTCTATGAAAGCTTTCACTTTCGCTTTCAATCCTAACTTCTTTCCCACAGTCCGTATCCGAGTCTATGCCTAGGCTTTCAATAGCTTCTGCCGGCACCTTTCTCATCCGGCTTTTCCCTAGGCTGTTTGCTAGTCTCTCTCTCCGATATTTTCCCAATTCTTCCCGTTTCTTCCCGTTTCTTCCCTCCTAAGTTTGCTATCCGTCCTAGGTTTCCTATCCGAGCTAGGTTTCCTATCCGAGCTAGGTTTCCTATCCGAGTCACGGCACCATTATGTCGCTCCCCCTCTTCGTGGAGGAGCAACACAGAACCCTGCCTAGGCTTCATATCCGAGTCACGGCACCATTATGTCGCTCCCCCTCTTCGTGGAGGAACGACACAGAGTCCTGCCTAGGCTTCATATCCGAGTCACGGCACCATTATGTCGCTCCCCCTCTTCGTGGAGGAGCAACACTAAACCCTGCCTAGGCTTCATATCCGAGTCACGGCACCATTATGTCGCTCCCCCTCTTCGTGGAGGAACGACACAGGACCCTGCGCTGTTCTTTCGTCTGCTCGGCCCTCCCCGGGTTTGCTGCTGGTTCTTCCCGGGTTGGCTACTATCCCTTCCACCTCCGTGGAAGGGCAGTTCCCCCTGGCCGCATTCCCCACTTCCGCAGGGGAGCGGCACACCGCCGGCCGGCTCTCTCGGGGGCTGCACGAGTTCCCTTAGATGTTCCCCTTAGATCTCTCTCCTCCTTTATAGTCCTCCTCCTTTATAGTCCTTCTCTGCCACTGCCCACACGCCGAGTACGCTGCTCTCCTCCAATCAGGAGCAAGTCCTACTGTTTATTGGTTGAACTGGAGGCAGCTGGGTAGAAGCTGTTTTCTCCTCTCCCAGCGCCATATTGTGGGAGAGCAGGTGCATAGAATAAGTCTTAATTCGAGTAACTTAGTCTAGTCCGGGTTGCTCCCCACAACCAAGATGTCTCTGAATGAGCGCTTTACTAATATGCTGAAGAACAAACAGCCGATGCCAGTGAATATTCGGGCTTCGATGCAGCAACAACAGCAGCTAGCCAGTGCCAGAAACAGAAGACTGGCCCAGCAGATGGAGAATAGACCCTCTGTCCAGGCAGCATTAAAACTTAAGCAGAGCTTAAAGCAGCGCCTGGGTAAGAGTAACATCCAGGCACAGTTAGGCCGACCCATAGGGGCCCTGGCCAGGGGAGCAATTGGAGGACGAGGCCTGCCCATAATTCAGAGAGGCTTGCCCAGAGGAGGACTACGTGGGGGACGTGCCACCAGAACCCTACTTAGGGGCGGGATGTCGCTCCAAGGTCAAAACCTGCTCCGAGGTGGACGAGCCGTAGCTCCCCGAATGGGCTTAAGAAGAGGTGGTGTTCGAGGTCGTGGAGGTCCTGGGAGAGGGGGCCTAGGGCGTGGAGCTATGGGTCGTGGCGGAATCGGTGGTAGAGGTCGGGGTATGATAGGTCGGGGAAGAGGGGGCTTTGGAGGCCGAGGCCGAGGCCGTGGACGAGGGAGAGGTGCCCTTACTCGCCCTGTATTGACGAAGGAGCAGCTGGACAACCAGTTGGATGCATACATGTCGAAAACTAAAGGACACCTGGATGCCGAGTTGGATGCCTACATGGCGCAGACAGATCCTGAAACCAATGATTGAAGCCTGCCCACCGTTGTGTGAGAGACTCTTACTAAAACCACCACATCTGTAAATAACCTTGAGATAACAGTTGAAAAGAAACCTGATTGATGCTGGAAGGACCTATCATAATAGGCTATGGACTTAACCTACCACCAGTTGTGCATTTAGTGTGTTCCTTTGACTTTTTGATACTGTGTTGTATGAAACCCTTTTTCTCTTGATTTGGTTGGGCTTTGCTTTTTTTCTTTGTTGTTGTTTCCTTCGCAGACTTCTCTTTGAACATGAATGTGTTGGCCTTACGGCTAGGATACCCTCTTCCTACCTCTGCCTCCCTTCACCTGCCATATACTCTAATCTTCATTTCCTCGGTTCATCTGTGTTCCCTCACAAAAAAGTCCTAGAAAAGAGCCACTGTTCCTCCCTAATGCCTAGGTTTCTGAGATTAAGTTCTGTATAATAACCTCTTAGAAGTGTTCAGAACATCTGGAGCTCAGAAATGTGTTGATGATGCAGTATACAGTGTAGTAAATTGGGAACACTGACATTGCCAAGGGCCAAAAAACAGTTTATATATGGTAGCAGCTCAAGTTTGATTGAAGTTGCTACCATGTGCAGTAACACGTGTGGTAACTAGGCTTGCTGGGTTGGGTAAGATCCTTTCTACCCACAAATGAGATTTATACACTTTGCTCTTGGCTTTGTATTTCCCAAGGGATTGAGCTGGTTTAACTCCTTCATATAGAAGAAGAAAGCCATTTGGTTTGGCCAGTGCGTCAGAAGGTACGGGGATGGAAGAGCAGTGGCAGACTAACTGCTGGGAGGATCACAAAATAATACCTGGGCTGAAAAGCAATTAGTCTCGTGTTTATTCCAAACCAGTCTTGGGTTTCTCCACTCACTGATTCTGTCTGAACTCCTCTCATTTCCCTTGAACGTTTAAGTAATTTCAACCATAGTCTGTCAACTGTTCCAGGTTCTGTGAAATCTTGTGTATTTCTGATTCATTATAACAAACTGTTCTCTCAAAAAAAAATTTCACAGGAAGTTTTTTTTTTATAAAACAGATGGAAAGAGTGAATAGAGTTATGAGTTCATCTTGCATAGAGAGCCGTGCACCAAAAAACATTGTAGGAGGTAAAGTGATCTTTAGCCCAATGGTGAAAGACTCTGCAATTTGAGTGAGGAGAGGTCTGGTGTGACTTTCAGGAAAAATTTAATCCTACAGGCTCAGAGGAACAAAAAGGATCACGTGATGGGAAAACAAGTTGCTGACAGGACCATAAAATGTCTTACCAACATTGAGGCTTCAGAATCACCACCTAGATTTAAAATCAATGGGTTCTGGATATAGGAAGAATGACTGATAGTTGACATCAGAAAATTTACAAACTGCCATGCCCACTCCACTAAATATATCCACAAGGATATTTAAAAATGCTCCTGGATAATGGAACTAAAATGCAGTTATTTTGGTGCATAGCTTTTCCAGAAGACACATTCTCCTCCATAAATTTTGGAAGATCTCTTGTAAGCATGGATTAAAATCTTTTTGCATCATTGATTTAAAAACTTCATTGCATTATACATAATCTAATATTTTAATTCCATTTTAGAGACTATTGTCCATACACTCCGATGTAGATAGTAAAATCAACAGTAGTAAAAAGATCATGACAAAACACCGGTTCTCTGTATGAATTGCTAACAATAAAAAAGTGCCTTTGATTCGGATCTGGCTGAAAAGCCCATGAGAGTATTTCAGGCATGGAAAGCCAAGACACTCTGGCAAAAGATCTCTGTGAGTGAGATCTCAGTGGAAAGAACAGGTCTTCAAAGAAGGAGGTACCTTTCTCTGAAGGGAGGAGAGAACCTCCACTTTGACTATGACCTTGTCTAAACAAGATAAGAATCGGAGAACTCAGAGGGCTTCCATAGCCTTGGAAACTCATGACTGGAGCATAGGGAGATTACTGATGCCATAGACAGGAGTGTCAATTGGTAAAGTCAACAACAGGAGTCACTGTGCACTTACTCCTCATGTAGGATCTCTGTCCTTAATGTGCTGTGTATTGAGATTTAATGCTATAACGAGTACTCAAACAATATATTTCACTTTGTGTTTCTATGGGGGTGCAAACTGTTGAAATCTTTACTTAATGCATACTAAACTGAGCCTCTGTAAAAAAAAAAGAAATTATCAACTCCCAACTTGACTCTCACTGGGATTAAACATGACAATAGGTCTGATCTGATTTCATCATCACTTAAAAAAATCATCTATTATTTTTCACTTTATGTTTCTGTGTGGGAGCAAACTGTTGAAATCCTTACTTAATGTATACTAAGCTGATCTTCTGTATATTAAGATAATCGAAAATGAATCTTGATGTGAATGGAAGGGGAGAGGGAGTGGGAAAGGGGAGGGTTGTGGGTGGGAGGGACGGTATGGGGGGGAAGCCATTGTAATCCATAAATCGTACTTTGGAAATTTATATTCATTAAATAAAAGTTAAAAAAAAAGTGCCTTTGAGTTTCCTGCAGAAAAAGAAAGCAAAGAGAATGTGCCAGAAACACAGAAAATGGCTGAGAAATCCATGCATGTAGTCAATGTCACAGGCAGTGAAGTAACTGCAAAGAAGCCCCACTAAGTCACCTCGCTTCACCTAATGATTAGAAATATTTCACGTGAGCACTCAGTGTGATAGAAGACACTGAGGTGTGTGTCTCACGAGCTGCTGCTGTGAGGGAAGTTGTACATGCCTTCCCCTCATCCTGGCCTTTCTTCTCCATAGGGAAGTGGTGAAACAATCCTCCTCTTAAAGCCCACATTGAGGAAGATGGAGACTGCGCATGGGAACACACCCCCAGGACCACGAGCTTTTCTTATCCCCTCCTCTAAGCCACTTAAAGTCAAATTTTCTTGGACTTAACTCTATTTTCCTGGAATCATTTTATTTTCCCCTTCTGTCTTAGAATTTTCTTCCCACATCAGCATTTCCCCATTAGCAAAGCCCCCTGCAATGCACAGCCTAATATTTAGTTCCCTTTCTAGCACTGGGAATGCAAAAAAAAATCAGTGATGAAGGAGCAAACAGCCAAAGCCATCCCTCAGGTCTGGGCTGAGTTTCTTTTTTCTATTTTTTTTCTTTTTTTGACAGGCAGAGTTAGTGAGAGAGAGAGACAAAGAGAAATATCTTCCTTCCATTGGTTTACCCCCAAATGGCTGCAACGGCCGGCACGCTGTGCCGATCCAAAGCCAGAGGCCCAGCGCCCATATGGGATGTGGGTGCCAGAGGTGGAGGATTAACCAAGTGAGCCATGGCGCCAGCCCCTGGACTGAGTTTCTTTAGCTCTTAGTTGATGCGAGGCAAAGACTCTGAGCTTCCATTGCCTTGGGACCCTTGCAAAGCGTCTGTTGGGCTCTGGGGCTCCCCTGCATTGGATCTCTTAGAGGAAGGTCTCTGTGTGGAAGCCCAGATTTCTCCCTGGATATTGGATGATGGAGACTGAAGCTCTGTCCCACACGAGGCAGCAGGAGGGAGGGATGCATCAGTGCCTGATCTGGACCGAAGACTCCAAAAGCAAACACAGGGTTTCTTCTAGACCAAGATTGTGCAATCGAAGGGATAGCAGCAGAGGAGAAATTTACCTGCTCATCAGGCAGCCCCTCTTACTTTGACCTTCCAGCATCTGATGTCCCTGGGGGACACTGGTCTGGTCAGGAAGCAGTTTTCTTGGCAGGTGGCTCCCAAGAGACCATGACAGAATCAGGCAAATCCTCCTTCAATATCCCTGGCTCTAGGTCAAATGTTAAGAGCTGTCATAAAGTTCCCCATCTTAAAGTGTTTGCTGATTATAGTAGTTACAGAGAGATGTAGCAACTACCCAGCTAAGCTAGACATGTTCTAGGGATTGTCTGACTTAATATATACCAGAGACTCCCACATGAGGTCTTAGGGTTAGAACCTTCATTGGCCCAAAAGGGCTCAGAGGAGCAGATGATCTTCCCACCATGATAAGGCAGGTAGTGGGTGCTGCTTTGATGGATACTTTCAGGAATGATTTATGACTCTTGACCACACCAAGACGTTCTACATTTCCAAACTTCTCTTTCCTTGGCACCTATATTGGGAGGTGTGAGCATGATGAGATACCCTGGAGGAACAGAGACTCAGGTTGTATCAGTGACTGAGTCTGGCAATGCGGGTCCCACACTGGTTCCAGGAGCAGGATGTGGGAGGGAAGGAAACCCAGTGTCCACGCTCACAGCATGCTGGTGCTGGAGTCTGTGGTGTCTGCAGGAGGCCTGTAGGGTAGGATGCAGGCAGGGAGGGGACAAAGAAGAGCAAACTAGAGTCTGATGATTTGTTCTACTCTGAAGTTGCAGAAATGGCTTCAGGTGCCAAGTGTAGATGCCCACAGGTTGGAATGGGGCCTTTAAGCCTTTCACTGTAATGTTAATTAAAAATAATTTATATCAAAGATAAAATACTAACTTAAAAGTATGTCATAAGCATGGTATGTGTGATTTGACATGAAATTACTTCTCAGAAATACACATATCACACCATGAGATATGTGGCTCTTTTTTATTTGGGTTGCCCTTTTTTAAAGAAAGCTTTTATAAATTTCATAGGTACTACTTTTAGATTATAGCAGTTCTTCCCCCCAACCCAAACCAGCCCATCTCCTACTCCCTCTCCCATCCCATTCTTCAGTAGGATTCATTTTTAATTATCTTTATACGCAGAAGATCCACTCTATACTAAGTAAAGATTTCCACAATCTGCACGCATACAGACACATAAAGTATAAAGTACTGTTTGAAGACTAGTTTTACCATTAATTCTCATAGTACAGCACATTAAGGACAGAGATCCTACATGAGGAGTAAGTGCACAGTGACTCCTGTTGTTGATTTAACAATTGACACTCTTATTTATGGATATGTGCCTTTTTGAATTCTTCATACTTAATTGCATAAGTTGCAGGTACATTGCAAAAAGAAAAACACAATGTAACTCAAAGTTGTTTACTATGTAAACTAACACCTCTTTCATCATCATTTTTCCATGGAATTGTTGAAGCACCCTTGTATTTAGGAACAACATTGGTAAGAAAGCTGAGGAAAGGAAAATTGGAAAGAAAATACATTGAGATACCAAACATAACACTAAGTACAACTTGTCAATCATTGAAAATGTTCACAGAAGCTGTAATA